CACAAGTGCGCCCCCATCCAGCGTCAAAACATTTGCATGGCCACAGCGACCACGCATTGCGGTGATTTTATATATATATTATATATATATATGATATATATCTATATATAATTTATAACAAACATGACTACCGTTGCTGGCAACACACGTTTTTTCAATGCGTCAAATCACGTAGGATATCGAGTGGAATATTATTTTGTCTGGTGCTGTTTGCATTCCTGTTTTCAGTGGCTGTAGATTGGCCGCACATTGTAGTACAGTTGGGGCGTCATTTCTACCCGCGGCAGAAGTGTTTGGATCATGATTTAATAGGCAGTCCACTCCGTCACACATTTTTGAAAGTTAGGACAAAAATATCATGCTGTGTTTCATTTTGTGTTGAGAACGTCTGCATAGGGGTTTTCTGCGCTCTGGATTAGGTGCACAATATCTGGGACAGTGGAAGGGACGGCCAAGACCTTGGGCATTTTTGGAAGGTAACCGGGCGAGGGTGTTCTTGATGGTCTGCAACTGAATAAAGAGTATGCGCATGATCAAAACGCATCGCTGACTCGTGATGCCCCATTATATTGGTGGTTTTATATTTTTTGTTAATACGCACTTTGAAATAATTACCTGGCTCCGTCTTGTCACGATACCTATTTTGCCTTCGCGATGCCGTCTTTTTGGTTTTAAAGGCTTGAAACGGAGAATGGTGATCGTTTTTGCTTCAGAAAAATAAATAAGCTTTCTCCTAATGCTCGTGATTGTGTTCGACACGCGAAATCAGCCTTACCGTCACTTCACAGACAGTGAGTTCTGTGACGTTTAAACTTTCTATATTTTTTAACTGTGTATACCTAACTTTTTAATTTGTTTTGGTTCATTCCGTTTGTGCGAAAATTATTTAATGAGTGCTCATTTAATTGATTATTTTTTAATTGGGTAAACTATCCACATAAATTATTTACAATTAGTTTTATTATCAAATTAATTATTTTGAGTATTCGTTTATTCGTTTATTCGTCCAGACAACAGAGCAATGCCTACCTTCTCTAAGTGAGCACATCATGAAGCTGACTAGACACCACGTGATCTACCAAACAAGGTCTGTGCTTCCTCGCGCGATGGCTTTTGCCAGACGGCACAAGTATTTGCTCTGGGGTATTTTCGACGTAATAATCTATATGCGGGTGCTGGACTTAGTCCATGGCTGTTGCGGATACTCGTCCCAGCATGCGGTGCACCCCGTTGGCAGTTGCGGGCCGGAACATGGCGTGCTACTACAACATCAGAGGTCCATCAGAGCCCCGGATGTGTGTCTGAGGACACGAATCACGCCTGCTGTCCGCAGAGACGCATGGGCGTTGCATGACCTTCAGCAGTCGATGCGTCCTAAAACCCAAATCATCGTCATCATCCGCAGAGGACAGCCACTTAGCACCGAGGTCATTGCCGCGCACAGAGTAAGCGACCCGCTTAGTCCGTCCCCTATTCCTTGGGCGAACTCGGTCATCAGTGTTCAGTAACGCGCTTCCACCAGGCTCCAGAGTGACATGAGTGCTGCAAGTTCATTGCCTTTTTGCGCGGAATAAAAACACCTGTGCGCCTCGACCCGCCAAACCCGTTAAGGATGGATGTGTGCATGCAACGCAGTGATGAAACGCCATCTTTATGTTTCCGAGGTCAGCAGCTTCATTTTCTTAGGTTTGGTGTCGCCTACAAGGCCGTAACACTCGACCGATCAACCGTTATATGGTAACATTTCGCTCGTCCCATGCCGTGGGAGGCATGTTGCGGGTTGTGAAGATCAGACGGCAGAGCGCGACCTGGCCTTTTTGAGTGAGGACGACTTTTAGGACAGGCTAACACCCAAAACAACATGGGTCTGTACTCGTTTGGCTCGGTTCTGACGGATCGTTAAGAGGCGTTGTGGAAAGATCTTACCGAAAAACCGCGGGACTATAAAAACGGTACAAGGCTCAAAATTGATTCAAGTCCTGAATCTTGTTTGGATCTACTTTGAATCGGCTTGGCCGAACTAACTCGTGGCTGTGCTAAAAGGCTGGTGAACACGATTCTTAGTTTATCCATCGATTTAAGCCCGCATTTTTGTTTTACGTTTTCAAACTATACCATTTTGCGGGAACTTTCGCTCCCACCCTCAAAGAAAAAAGCGTGCGGGACCTTGGACTCTGGCTCCGTACGAAGAGCCACAAGCCTGTTGTGCTCTTGCAGGCAGCTGGAGGAGACGCTGGATGATAAGGTGAAGGAGCTGCTGCAGAGCGCCGGCGCCGAGGACTACCTCACCATGTTCGCCACCAGCGGTGTCCAGTACAAGATGCTGCTGTATATGGACGACGCTGAACTGATCGAGGTGCTGTTCGGCTGCAGCGTTCTGGACTGCTGGGGGACCGGCTGGGCGGGCTCGTCCGCTGACGCTGCCATAGAACTGCCCTGTCCAGAGGCCGCGCGGCCACGGGAGCGGGTGTTGTCAGAGGATGTTTGAGCCGTTGGGAAGATGGGTGACGTACGTCCAGCAACGAGAAATACTCAATATTAAGTCTGATGATGCATGGAAAGAAACAAACGGAAGACATTCGCTTGTGTGTCCTTCCTGCTATAGTAACTCACGCAGCCGGAATGTCCTGCTGCTGGCTGACGTGGGGTTGAGCCGGCCGCTGTCCACCAGAGTGGTGCCGCACGGCGCGGGCCGCTGTTGCAGCTGGGAGTAAGTGACCTGTCGACGCGAGCAGCCATCCTGCGCCAGACGGCGCTGGCCAGGGACGAAGACGAGCTGAAGCCTCGCGCGCCGTCCGCGCCGCCGGCCGAGACGCCGCCGTCGGCCCCGGCCTGCGACGGGGCGTCCGCCGTTGCGGCCGGGGAGGCCCCGTCCACCGACGCAGAGGTGCGTCCCGCAACGCATGGCCGCCGCCGGCTGCTGCGCGCCGCTGAACACTCCCGGACGCGGCGGCCGGCGTGTGGCGAGCATATCAAGAATCCCTAGTGTGGTCTGCCACTCTCAGTTCTGAGAAGTGCGCGCTTTCCAGGGTCGGCTCGGTCCTGTGTTGAGACGTGGTCGCTGGGGCCATCCGCAGTGCGTGACGGCCGGTAGGCGCGTGCCATGTGACCTATGACCGTGCTGAGCGTCGCCGTTCCCGCAGGGTGCGGCGGCCGCTACCGACCGGACGTGTCAGTACCGCACCGCCCACACGGAGCTCGAGTGTGTGGTCTGCATGGACCACAAGGTGAGCGCGGCGCACCAGCAGGATCTCCGGCCGCACCGGCTGACCAGCACACCTGTGCCGACGGTGGCAGTGCTCGTCTGCCAGCGAGAGCGCGGCGACGCTGGCGTGCTCGCCGACGTCGACGTGTGTCAGACGTGCTCCGGATGCGTGTCAGACGTGCTCCGGTTGTATGTCAGACATGCTTCGGACATGTGTCAGATGTGCTCCGGACGTGTGTCAGACGTGCTCCGGATGTGTGTCAGACGTGCTCCGGATGTGTGCCAGACGTGCTCCGGATGTGTGTCAGACGTGCTCCGGATGTGTAACAGACGTGCTCCGGATGTGTAACAGACGTGCTCCGGACATTTGCCAGACGTGCTCCGGATGTGTGTCAGACTTGCTCCGTAGCGGGCGGGTCAGACTGCTGGATGCGTGAGCAGGCGCGAGCGCGGAGTCTGAATCACCCATCGGTTTCACGCAGTGCGAGCTCGCACTAGCATGATGTATGGACAACCGCAGTGCGTGCGTACAGCGTAACTGAGGCGTGCGATTGAACCATAGGACGGAAAATGGTAGCAGGCTTCGGTGGGTTGGCTTGAAGCTAACGGTAAATATTTAGTCGACCCTTCTAGGTGTCAGAATGGTGACGATTGACCTGGAACGTTTTCAACTGCAGCCGTCGGCGGCCACCTGTGTCACTGAGCCGGCCGTCTCTGTTTCAGGACCGAGGTGATATTCCTCAACTGCGGTCATCTGTGCGTGTGTCGCCAGTGCAGCGAACCGCTGCACCCAGTGCCCGATGTGCCGGCAAGCAGGTGCTGCAGAAGCTGGTCATCACCACCGCCTTCTGACGCCGCCGGGCCTGGCCGACGGCGGCGCAGGGCTGGCCAGGCGCCTCCGCCGGCGCGCGGCTCGAACGCGCGGCGCCTCCGCTAGAGGTCGAGAGCGAGCGGGGAGGCGGATTGAGAGACCCGTCTGGGGCGCCAGAGACATGAGCCGGGTGTCGGGTTTTGATTTAGGCCATTCGTAGCACAGTCGGTATCGTTCTCTCCATTCGAAGGATAGGCTTATTCGAAAGGATTGTGGGGGGGGGGGGGGGGAGCGGGAGCCAGCGAACCGGCATTTTCAGACCACGAGGACGGATCCACGTGCGGAATCGCTACGTCTGCTGTTTATGATAGCCATTTGGTGCAATATATCATTTGTCACGCTTGGGGCAGCTATGCTTTTCCAGGAACAAATGCATTGGGAGCATTGACTGAACTATTCAAGTGCGTTATATATTTTGATACTTTGAGCGAAGCTGATTGAAATGACGCAGGACTGGGATTAAGCGCACATTGGGGGTGCAAAAAGGTCAGCGTTGATTGAAAACGACAAGAACGAGAGACGATAAAGGGCAGGTGTAGTAAGGCTGTTGCCTCATGTGTATTACTTTACACGCGAGAATTCTCTCGCGGTATCCAGCATTTGTTGAGATGTGATATAGCACGTTTATAGCGTACGGCAAACGCAGCGGTTTCGCCCGTGGATCAATTTTCACACTGTACATTGGAGTCGCGCCTCGCTCGCTAGAACCGTGGGTCGGCCAACGGGGTTAAGGTTATCATGCTCGATGTGCAATATGTGTCTGACCTCATGAATCTGGAGGCAAGTAATTCCTTGCGCGATCCCGGGGCTTCACGCAGGTTGTCAGCTGTCTGGGCTCGACAATGTGTCTTGTACCCACGTCGGTCGGAGATCCGTGCTATTGGACCGTGACTGGAACAGAATGCTATTATCCCGTAGGATACAACGTTTAGTGTTTACGCCATTGGTCCTGTGTTAATTACTCATTTGCAGGCGTTCTGGTTCTTGTCATATATTTGTGTTTGGTTGTTGTCTGGCTGTTGCACCAGTCACGGCGCTACAGGCACCACGATACCTGCGTCAACGGCCAGTTTAACGGTAGCAGGGGTAATATATGTGTACGCATATTTTATGCTCGTGCTTTGATGCCTGCTACCGCCAGTGTGACTCGCGTAACTAGCCTTTTTATGTATTTGATGTATGTGGGTTATCTGTTGCTGTCATTATATTTGCCTTTACAGTATGTAAAATAACTGCATGCTGGCCTGTCATGCACGATTGGTATGCCAGCATCCCACACACCTGTAATCCAATATGTGTGCTTTCTTAGCGCACAACAGTTATTCGTTGAGTCTGGTGCCAGCAAATTCACGTCTGCTACTGTGGTTTGCGCATATTGCTTCGTCCTCGGACATTACATTCCACAACTGGGGGTGTCGTTTCATATTAATTTAGGGTGGATGGGGGCGCCCTTGACCGCCTTCCCCACCAACCTTGAAAAGAAAGTTGGCCTCGTTCGGGGAGGAACCCCGTGTTTGGCGCATTTTTGGAGGCAGGCCTCAGCCGTTTCCTTGCTCAGCCCGACTTATTTTGTGGAACTCCTTCTCGGGGTCAACCTGCTTAGATAGAGACGTGTCTCTAAGCTATCTGGATGTGATCGCTGGGGGTGATCAAGCGCATGCAGCCCTGTTTCCAGTGCCCCACCAGCCCCCTGCCACTCGGCCTGCAACGAAGTTGTCGGTATCGTGGGTTTGCCATCGGAGAGCGCTAGCTAGCCTTTTCTACGGCGTTAGTTGTAGATAGCCGGGTGGGTAGAGGGGGGAGGGAGGTACGCTACATCAGTCCTTAATACTCGCCAGCACCGCCGGGAAGCCGCCAGTGAGGTGTAGACAGTCGGTTGGACGGGGGGACGGGGGAGGTCACTATGGCTGCTTCAGTCCCAACACCCGCCACCATCACTGGGAGGGCTGCCGGTGACGCGCTCTGGTCGGCGCGTGGGATGGCGGCAGAGTCTGGCATTAGCCGCTATCGTGTCTGTTCAGGATGCGGACGACCATCACCACGCCGAGGCGTGACCCACTGCCGCCAGCCCGGCGCCGGCCCCCGGCCGCGCGGTTGACTGTGGCGTGCGTGCGACGGCCGCCGTACCGGCTGATGTGGGCGGCAGCGGCTGGTGAACGCCGTTCAGGCGCTTTACGCCCTCCTCGTCGGTGACGATCAACGCGCCTAAGTGGGTCGGCGACGTCCAGTGAACATTATTCAGGGACGTGATGCCCTTTCCTATTGGTTTTCTTGAACGTATCAGCACTGTTCGCCACATCCGGGCACGAAAGGCTGCATGATCGGGCGGCGTTCACAGCGAGTCTATGGGACAGCACAGGTCCTCCGCGCTCTGGTGGAGAGCCGCTGTAGTGGAAGGGGTCGCAGTCAACGAACAAGTCAGCGTGACTTCATGCCTAGTGCGATCCGAGCTACCGTGGTGTGCTGGACTCGCTAGTCGTCCAGCTTGCGATCGTAGTGTGTAATTCTGATGCTCTCGTCTCTTCTAAGTGGCGTGTGCGATTTCGGATGTTCAGGCCCAGTGGCGGGTGCAGTCGCACCATGTTAAGCGTGTCCGGTTCGCATATCACCCTGCGGCGTGACGCGTCCCGCGTGCAATACGCTCGAATGTCTTGGCCTGTGTGTGATGTCGGATCATGACGTGCCAGAATAGTAACCGAGCTCGGGTTTATCGGTGATCAGGAAGGCTCTGAGGGGTTGTAAAATAGGAAATCAAGGCTTCGGTGATGTTGGAGCCGGTGGTGTTTGATCGCCCTTTGGACCTCTTGGTCGGCGCGGTTTTCTGTATTGGTGCTTGCGCTTTTGCTGCACACCTTTGTGTATCATTTGATGTTGTGCCGTTATGATAAAGTAGAGGACACGGATTGGCCGTAGTCAGGAGGCGCACGTCAGGGCGCGTCAGTACGCGTGTGTTAACCTATCTGCCCGGTTGCTCTGATGCATTCTTTAAATGTGTGGCCTGGCTTTGATATATCCACGCTATGCGTGCGTGTTGAAACTGGTAGGGTTTACGCCCATAGAGTTCGACCAGTTCGTGGCCGTGGTGGACCTACTCTAACACCATCCCTCCCACGTTCCACTATTTGTCGCGGGCACAGGCGCTAGCGAGTTCAGCCACGAGCCGCCGTCCTGCTGGCCCCGCGTTTCCTCCGCGTTTTGTCCTCCAGCCTTCGTTGCCCCCTGTTTGGCGCTTGCGTGAACGCCATGCTCAGGTGCGCTTGCTTCTGTAGCGGGTCCAGGACAGGGGCCGCAGCCTCCGACGGCGTGCCTTGCGTGATGACGCGTGCAGTGGGGTGCAGAGGCCCCCACTGCACGTGTGCCGTAGCCCCTCCGCTCCGCAGCTGATCGCCTCGGGGCGGGCGTCGCTGTGACCTCGGGGCGGTCACGACCGTGATGTCCGCCATGTTCCGATTTCTATGTGGACAATACACCCGGTACACTTCACACCTTCCATGTGGACCAATACACCTCTCGACCTGTGGTGGTGCGGCCCAGCTGACGTTCAGTCCTTCAGGAGCTTCAGGGAAAGAAGGGACTATCCTCGGGCAGCATGCCGAGACCCCGTCAGACCGCCGGAGCCCCGCGTCCGCTCAGAGCGCGGCCGTGCCCCGGCCAAGCCAGGCACTGGCAGACAGCATGTGTATTCCCAGTAAAAACGAGAATACGGTCGTTCATGGTTTAGTAGGTGGCATGTTAACAGCGGCGAGCCCAGCCGCCCCTCCCCGGACACGCACCACACACCGCCCGCAACGTCCGTGATCACGCGCGTACGTCGCCGCCTCCATGAAGCCAGCCAGGTTCTACAGCTAGGGCAGACGAGGCGGCGGCACGAAGGCACGTCGAATATACAGCAAAACAATCGGCAAGACGATTCGCAATGGTAAAATGAGATCATACAAATATCGTTAGGCGGCAGACCGTACGAACACGTGTAAACTGGTAGTGGGTGTACCACGAACGCGGGGCATGGGGAGGGGGCACACGGCATCCTCACGTGACGTGACCGGCACTCCATCAGGGTGGGCCGTCGGCGGGCGCATCCACGGATCCGGACAGCGCCGACAGATACCGCTATCCGCCAAAGGAAGGAGCGGTGGGGGGGGGGGGGACAACAGGCGCGTTAGCACGCGCCACCGTCATGGGCGGCACTCGGCAAGCGGGCGGAGCGCAGCGCGGGGAAGATTATTGCGCACAATCTCGGGGGCGCGGGGCGCGGCACGGCATCGTCCTTGGCAATAGGCAAGGACTGCAGAAGGGCGGCCCGGCCAGGCCGCTCGCTCCGCACACATACACACCCGTCCACGCAAGCACATAGACTGCATCCAGTCCCGCATTCACGGCACCTCAGACTTGTGCTCCTTTGAGCATTGCTGCCATGGACTAGAATAGCGTACCCCGTTAGGCTCGTGGGCCCCGCTGTACTCCTGGCTTCGTCGGTATTCCCCGCGCGCCCGTGCAGCTGCGGGGGCCCGGTCACGTTTTCAGCTCCGCTGCGAGTGCTTCTCTCCCCGCGGCAGGTCCACGGCGCCCAACACCCGATGGTGATGACCCAGGACGCCTCCAAGTCTCCCGGGACAGTACGGGACACCCGAACATTCGCAAGGACGGGATGGGATGCTTACACACCTCCACGGGGCGTCCCGGGCGCCGAGCACCTCCGGGGAGCACCTATCACCCAGGCCTGTCCTCCATGTCGTCGGTCCAGCGCTCCTGCACGTCTGGCGGGAGACCTCAGGCTCTTATCCGCTGGCCGCCCGGAGCGCTGCGCTTGTCCGTCAGGCCGGCGTGGGGCGCCTTCGTCCCCAGAGAGGCGCCGCTCTCCAGGCCGCTGGCACGCTGGGGCGCCGCCCACGGCCCGGGCGCCGCTGTGAACCCTTCGGCACCGCTGGCTTTCGGGGGCCTCTCGTCCCTTCGGTACCGCCGGCTTCGGGGACACCCCTCGCCCCGTTCGGCACCACCAGCCTCGGGGCCACCCCTCGCTCCTTCGGCACCGCCAGCCTCGGGGCCACCCCTCGCTCCTTCGGCACCGCCGGCTTCGGGGCCACCCCTCGCTCCTTCGGTACCGCCAGCCTCGGGGGCACCCCTCACTAATTCGGCACCACCGGCCTCGGGGGCAACCCTCGCCTCTTCGGCACCGCCAGCCTCGGGGGTACCCCTCGCCCGTTCGGCAACACCGGCCGCGGGGATACCCCTCGCCTCTTCGGCACCGCCGATCGCAGGGGCACCCCTCGCCCGGTGTCATTCGAAGCTGATGAGGTTGGCCGGCAGGGGCTGCGCGCGCAGTCCGATGGCCGCGTCGTGCAGCTGCTTCACACCCACTCCTCGGCCTTGCCCTGACTAGACGCGCGGAATTTGTACATGTCACCTGCCGGACGAGACAGTTAACGCGCGGGTTACGGTGGGCCCCGACAGGCGGCAGCACTGCACTGCGCGCGTCGTGCAAGTCGCTACAATGTGGATCTCGTCCGCGTCCGGTAGTACGATAGTGCGCACCCACACAGCGGCCGAGCAGTTCGTGACGTATCAGTTACTCACCTGAGGCGGGGTTCTGCAGGATGAAGGTGTCCTTCAGCCACGACACGTCGTCCACGTGCACGGACCAGTGGCGGATCGTGTGCATCTTGCTCGGCTCTGATTTGAAGTCGCTCCGCTCCGTGCTGCGAGGAAGGGCGTGTTACGTGAGGGGAGAGGGCTGCTGCCGATGACTTGTGGTTGTCAGGTAGCGGTTTGGGATTGACGACGGCATACGGAATCAATGTTAATTAACCATTTAGTGCGCTAGTAGCGCTGTGTGAAGCAAACGCCATTCTATGATTTAATGCTCTCGCCTTGCAGACGAGTTTCAACAATGTATGGAACCAATCTTTATTAACCATTTAGTCTGCTAGTAGCGCTGTGTGAAGCAAACACCATTCTATGATTCAATGATCTGGCCTTGCAGACGAGTTTCAACAATGTACATCATCACTTAGCAGTCTTTGGATCAGAACCTAGTTTTTCCCGCGTACCGACGCCAGTCCGACACCCTTAATATCTAAACACGCAACGTCTCCTGAAGATTCATCGTATACACTCAACGTGAGCAAGGACCATGGCACATTTCAAAATTGCAATCGGGGGCGACGATCCATCCCCGCCGCCCTGCACCTGCAGCGCCCACAATGCCAGCCGTAAAAGACGGCGTCCAGGGCACGTACCACTTGATTTTTTTGCAGCTGAAGTAGACGAGACTGTCGGCCCACAGCTGGACCCAGTAGCGTTGCCAGGTGGCCACGGGCGGGCGGCGGCCGACTTGAGCAGCGTCTTGCGGCGCAGGCAGCCCTGCAGCGTGCAAACGGCGCCAGCCTCCATCACCAGCTCGTCACACTCGCCGTCCCTGCGCACGAGAGAGTATGCCATCAGCTTCCATCACCAGCTCGTCACACTCGCCCTGAATGTGAGAACGACGGTCGAGGATATATATATATATATATATATATATATATATATATATATATATACCAAATTCCTCCTGAACAACCGTCTCTGAACCAGAATAACATTAGGCTCTATTCGCTTTTATTCGGGTTCGGAATCGATTCCGCTCAAATGGAATCAAGTGCAAGTCTAGCAATTAGGGCCGCATCCCCAGCCTATCACTCGCGCCGCCCCTGAGGACAGAAAGGGTCGCCAGGCTCCATCTTCAGCTTATCGTCCTCTCCGGCCCGGATGGCAGGGGGTAGGGGTCAGACCAGGTCACCACCCTCCATCAACAGCTCGCCGCCGTCGCCGCTCACCCTGATCGGTGAAGGCGGGTCATCGAACCCCACCAACAACGACGCATGCTGGTCCCAGCCATGTCTAGAACGGGTGGTCCGTAAATGCGGCAAGACCAGAAACCGCCACCGGCGTCGTTAAAGTAAGCGTGTTAGCAATGCAGCCACACCATACACATTTTACATACATGCGACGGGCGTACATGACAGCCGACCTGTCACACATGGATCTGTCCACATGTTGCTGAACCTGCCTACAGACAGATCTGTCACAGACCATCCAACGACGCACGAACACGGCATAGGCAGCCTGCGAACACGGCACAGCTATCCGACGACACACCGGAGGTCCACGGACTCGATGGTTGTCGCTCGGGGTGTTGGGGCACGCCGACGGCTCCGCGGACTCGTGACAGAGGCATGCAGCGGGCGGCCGCGTCCGGCCGCTGCCAACGGGCCGACGGGCCGGCGCCAGCCGCCGCCTGACCCGCCGCCACTCACAGCATGGGCAGGCTGGCCGAGACGTGGTCGCCGTCGGCCGACCGGCCCCCCTCGCCGTCCGGCAGGTAGAGCGAGGCGCACATGGCGTCGCCGGCGCTCAGCACCGAGTCGTCGAGCAGGTGGCGCGGGGCGGCGCCCGACGGCAGGCTGCCGACCGCGCCGCATCGGTCGTTAGTACGCGGGGGAGCGACGGCCCCGGGCAGGCTGGGCAGCGCGGCGCGGCAGCGGTCCGGGACACGCTGCGGTCGCAGGGAGCCCGCGCGCACGGGCTGCGGAGATGCTAAGCGACGTCACAGGATCTCAGGCACCAGCTGGCCGGATTGGCTGATGGATGTCTGAGTGTTGGAGAGCATGGGCGTAAGTTGTCCGGAGACAGGAAGGGGGAAAAGCCGAGGGAGAGAAGAACGGAGAGAGGGAGCGAGAAAACAGAGAGGGAGAGAGAAAACGGGGAAGAAGTGGAGCGAGGAAGACGGAAGGGGAGCGAGAAAACGGAGAGGGAGTGAGAAAATGCGTCAGCGGCGTACCTGTGACGTGTCAGAAATTAGTCGGTAAATTCGACAGCGTGGATTACAGTTGGCTATGAGCAGGCAAGTAAGGCGGCGATTAATGGAGAAATATGAAAGTGCGTCAAAAGCAAAGCTCAGTACAACATTAATAGTCATGCACAAAGAAAACACAGGAAATCATGGACAACGTATTAGCTATACAGTCTAGCATAGCATGAATCAGTGAGAAACACATGCTGGCCGCTAGGATGGGCCGTCGAGCTGAATTTCATACTGACTGTTTTCGAAACCTACGATTCCGTTCTGGTCACGAAATCCCATGAAGTTCTAAGAAAACCTCTTGCGTTTTGGTCGAAAGCCGACCTTTAAAATATCGCCTCTTTTCGGTCCGACCAACTGGCCACGCTGTACTAGCACACACTAGCCAGCATTACAGCTACTGGGTTTGGATTCCATACTCCGGCCACGAGTGCACATCGAAGCAGCGGCCATCGTCTCAGTGCACTCCACGCCATCCGCACCAGACGTGGATGGCGACCTCGGTCGGGGCACGCCAGCCTCCTCGGCCGGGTCACACCCGCCCCTGGCCGGGGTCGCGCCCGCCACGCGTGCGCCGCCTCCTACGCACGACACTCGAGCCAGAGAAGAGTGAAGAGCTGGGCAGCGGCCCCGCTCGGGGGCGCGGCCAACCGGCGGGGGCCGCGGCCGGCCGCCGGAGGGCGCGCGCCACTCACCCGGGGCCCACGTGGTGATTCTGGCCGCACACACAGGGGGGCAGGCGACAGGAGCCGGCGCGAGGCAGGCTCATGCTGCGCGTCCTGCGGCCGGCCGCGCGCCACCCGTCACACGCGCGCTCGCGCCGCCCCAACACACCAGTCAGACGGCAAGAGCGACGGTCCGCCGGGCGAGTACGCTTACTACGTCATGGGACCAGACGCCGCTCTAACGTTCCTAATGTGATCATACACAAGTCAAGACGTCTTAGAGCCCTTGTATACATGGCGCATTCTTGCTTAGCAGAGGCATGTCGGTGGTTGTAACCGGTTATAACTGGATTCAACTAGTTGACCACTTCTGGGTTTCACTGTGAACCCGGGTGGATATTTGTGTACGTGACTCTAATGTGAAGGATCCTAGCTCATTCCAGGAAATTTAACACTGCGTGGAAAATGCTGTTCGTAAATTGGAGATGAGATCTTGTCCACACAATACAGAAGGCACCGTCATAAAGGATTGTGTATACTAAGGAGTGTTTGAGTTAAGCATTAAGAAAGGTGCTTAATACAGTACAAGTCGTTAAGTTACATGACATTTTTCTTTTCACGAGTTTTCTTCGTACGTTGCTATGTTTTCGTGCAGCTTTGAAGTTGGCTTTAAGGCGAATCAGCAGCTCAGTCATTTGGAAGGTCTTATCCTGCAATGACAATTATTTGAGGATTCAAAGGGTCACGCAATGTGACATAACACGAAGGTAACACAATGCAACATAAGATGTAAACATCATTCAGGCAAAATTGCCTTACTTTATCACGCTCAACAAAAATTGTTTTGCATTTCAACAGTCACATATACCGAACTTAACCAGAAAAGATCCAAACCCCGCAAAGTCCTGCCCCAGTCTCTATTGAGGTGCGTTTTCTTCTTTTAGTAACGTTGAACTGCCACTTTTCCGGTCCAGTAATGGCCTTGCGTCGTTAAATTCCAAGTCGTCCCACTGCATGTTGTGCTGGAAGTTTCTGCATGTTCGGACATGGCCGATCTCTTGTGATCCTGTTCCCGTGGCGACTGGACAGCCCGTTTCGCCAAGGTCAGCGGCGCTACATTCGCAACTCATGCTGCGGACTATCAGCCTTAGTTTGACTTTTGGTGCCGCATCCTTCTCGTCACGCCTGCCTGCTCCGCGAAGCAGCGCTGGGCGAGTGGCCAACGCTGCTTGACGCTGCTTCTCCCACCTCTCCGCGCTCGACGCAGGTTCCTCGCCTGGCGCTACTTAGCGGAACACGCTGCGCGTGCAGCCGAAACATTTGGCATCGCAAAGTCAAACTGAAGGGGAGTCCATGACACCACTTGTAAGTGTAACACTGGTTATGTTGGCGAGACGGGCTGTCCCAACGCCACAAGAACGAACAGACATCGGACCGTCTTCACATCCGCATCATGGACGACTCCTACGAAAGGTACATGTAAACAAATCCGCCGTCATCGGACGCGCAGCAAACACACCGCACAACATCCCGTGGGATGGCTTCAATGTTCTCCCGCACGATGAAAATTATCGAAAAAAACTACTGAATCCGGCATGATCAAAAGGAACTCCCAGATCAGGGAGTGGGCCTGAAATGGGTAGCAGTGGGGACCTTTGAATTTCGAATAGCTTACGTGGGTTCTGATGTGCGCTAAAAAGTGATGTTTTCCGGCTTAAATGACATAGCATATAGAAGCTCAATCACGATAACACGCGAATCTTACTTCTTACTGAATGGCTTGGACGAAGGAATGTGTTCAGACTGTTTGATGGGCAGTTAACTGCTGAAAGTTTGGCCGTGCCGTGATACCAAAGCCCGTTTTAAATGCCGTGCGTTTTTGTCTCCGCCCACGAACAGACACCGTGTTAAAATGCCGCTCATGCATGAATGCCTAAATGGGCGTTTTGACAGTAGTGAGGCAGCTAATCAACATGCGCTTGCCTGCTTCAGCTGACTTCCATTTAACGTTCCTTCACTGCATGTCAACGGGCGTTTGGGGAGATTGGCACGAGGGATTGTAAATTGACCCGGCCCGTCATGCTAATTTCCAAACGCAATTCGAGAAAGGGGTCGCCAGGGCCCAGAAAGGTAGTTATAAATATATCTTATTTACTTCTTGGGTATGCTACAATCTACTGACCATTTGTACATTTCACGGTTAGAAAATGTCCCACAACCAGACTACCTTGCCTGAACTATAGCCGTGATCTCCGTAGCAAAGGCCAAACGTCGTCGGTGGAGCAGCCGCACGACACACCGGCTCCGGCCCCCCCCAGTCCGCACGCACGTGTCCGCCGGAAGCGACGCGCATTCCCTCCTCCGGCGCCAAGGCCGCCCCACCGCAGCACGCGTGCCCGCACACGGGCGGCCGCCGACCGCAGAGGCGAGCCAAACGCGCGCGGCGCCGGCCCACAATGGCTCACACGGCGGTGACGCACGGCGCGCGGGGCGGCGGGACCGCAGCGGGGACCGAGGCGGCGGACTGCAGCTCGGGGGACACCGGGGTCGCTGCACTGCGGCCCAGAGGGGAGGAGGGGGGAGGGGGTGATACGCCTACGCGAGCGCGAACGCGAAGGTTCACAGTAATTGACCAGGCGGGTATTGAACCAGTGAGCGGCGGACCTGTCTGCACGTGGGGCTGTCGGCTGCCTTTGGTCGCCGCGCCTGTTAAGACGGGCCTATATGACGCCATCTCAATATCGCTCTTGCGACACAGGGGTGGCCGTGCGGACCACCGCGGCGGCTTCTGCAAAACTTGAGCTAGACCCCATTCATCGACGCTGTGTAAATATGAACGATCGGAGACAAATTGAGTTAGTGCTAGTGTGAGCATCACAGGGCATCATCCTGGCAGCTCAGACACAAGACATACACATCTCACCGGCGTGACATCCCCGCATGAGGAGGTGGGGTGACTGTCGGGTGTCGCAAGACACAATATGCCTTCAAAGTTCACGGATGGCAGACTAAGGGGTCTCCCGTGTTTCCCGAAAAGATGCGCCCTCCACCAGGAAGCTTCGCAATGACCAGCAGCGCACCCAGCTCAAAATTAAGCAGGGCAGGCAAATCACAGCATCGCGCACTCCAGGAGCTCCGGGCCCGCTCACTTTGCGGGCACTGCTGAGTAGCACAGCGCCCAGCCATGCCGCGGTCGGGCGTCACTCACTTGACGCCGAGGCTGCAGGCGCGCCGGTGGGCCTGCGCGGCCACCTGACGAGCCGGCGAGGACGGCGCGGCGCCCAGCCGCTCGCGCTCCTCCACCGACTCGCGACTGGAGCTCGACTGCGCCGGAGACTGGGTCTGCGGCTCCAGCTGCAGCGACAGTCTGCCCGACACGTGCAGAGACACATTATCATCAGACCTAACAGACTAGGTCTGCCGCTCCAGCTGCAGCGACAGTCTGCCCGATACGTGAACAGACACATCATCCGACCTAACAGACTGGGTCTGCCGCTACAGCTGCAGCGACAGTCCGCCCGACACGTACGCAGACACATCATCATCAGACCTAACAGACTGGGTCTACCGCTCCAGCTGCAGCGACAGTCTGCCCGATACGTGCACAGACACATCATCATCAGACCTCGAATGAGCTGTAGCACACAACGAAAGGGTCGGACTAGGGACGCGGCCAAAGCAACAGTCCGCACAACACCAGGAGCCAGCCAGACGGCAGCCCGAAGCCAACTCGTGGACGGACGCGAAGAACGTAAACCGGGCCAAGGTGTGGACGCAGCTGCAGTGACATCTCCCCCCCCTCCCCTAACGTACAGCGCGTCGCGCCAGCGTGGGTCCACAGTTCCATACTCCAGCGGCTCAAGTGTAACAGCACAAGAACGTTCGAAGGCATTCAATGGCGCTGAGAACCTCCTCCGTCATCCGCTCATCCTCGTCCGCCCACGGTCGACGTGCCGGTTCAGCTCCAGCGGTCTGACGAGTCTCAGCTCACGCAAGGCACGCCGCACCCCAGCTCTTACGAGCACCCGCCCCGCACCCCCCCCCCCCCCCCCCTCCCTCCCCGCTCATCCGACAGCAGCCGCACGCGCCAACACCAGGCTCACTTGTAGTTGTCCTCGTCGATGAACTTCTGGAGCTCGTCGATGTAGCGGATGGCGGCCAGGTAGCTGCTGACGCGCGGGTTGAACGGCAGGTGCGAGTAGTCCGACTGCTGGAAACTCGGAGATGGTGCGCAGGATGTTGTTCATCAGGTTGCGCCGCTGCGACGACTCGAGGCCGCCCGACTGCGGGTGTGCCATGTCCACGTACACGAGGTCCGTCAGGTACAGACCTGAAACGAACAGCGCGCCCGTCACGTACGGGCCGGTACTGTAGGGTAAGTGACACGCACGCCGCTGGATCAGTTCAGAGGCTGGGCGCTGGAAAATTCATCTGGACAAGAACTAGCTGTACGTGTGGTGGTGCCTGATCCAGCGGAACATTTTTTGACGGCATGGCCTTGCGTCAGTAAGCTGCGCTATTTAATTTCACCGGCCTGAGACACCAAGGTAAGCCTAACGAGTGGTGCGCAATATCCAGCATAACACCGAGTGCATAATGTGCCTGAGTAGCCTGCCAAACCGCAACAGAGTGGAAGCGCCCGACAGCTCGCATAACGGACTTCGCCCTGACAGCTCCGGACCGCCGGCTCGTGATCTTCATTTATAGGGGACATCGCTCGAACATCGCATGGAGGATCTCGGACGGGTTTTTATTAATGTCGAGGTCGTAGGTTCTCTGAAAACAAAGCCATGAACTGACTGGGACTTCAGCAAAATTTTCCGCAAAGTTTTCACGAAGCAACGTTTAATTTTCACTTCAGTCATCAAATTCAAGTACGACGAGCGGCGCATTAGCGAAGACTAGCCCGGGGTTTGTCCGGCTTGCGAGCCAACGGCCGGATGTGCGACTCCTCCTCCTTCCTGTCCGCCATGCGTCCTGGTGCGCGACTCCTCGTCACTCTCCTACTCTGCAGCGGGACCAGGCGGAGCACCGCCAAGCGCAAGGCCCTTCTACTGTTTTCAGTGCACAGGCGAATCTACTGACCCGGATGACCACTGCACCGACAGCGGCTGGGTGTCCATCCCGCGGGGCAGGCGGCTCGACTACAAGTTCCTCTGCCCCGAACAGCTGAGTTTCTTCTGCATGAAAACCGTCGAGGTGTGGGAGAGCGACCAGCCCGGCGTGCCAAACAAGTACCGCACGCGCCGCGGCTGCAGCGGCAGCACGCGCTTCAGGTACCGTGAGCCCACAGCACACACGCACGCACATGCACACGTATACACGCCCAGTGCCTTGCCCTATATCACGCCGCGATAAAAGCACGTTGACTATTGGAATTCGCATGGCCTTCGTTCGACGTAGAAGCATGGGCGCTTATATTTGACCAAGACCGTTCCCAGGCTAATGGTAGCACTGGAGACCGCATTCCCAATGCAATTGGCCACCCTGTCTGCCAAGGCAAATTGTGTGCAGTCTGTGACGTCATCAACAGCTCCAACTGACACCCTGTATTGCCTTGTTAGATAGCATTCCTTATTTACGACGATATTACTGAAAGCTTTGCAAGAAAGGGTCACCGCTGATGTAAGCCGGCACCGCGCAACACAACTGGGTCCCAGTCCCTCATCAATCCTTCAACACATGTCAGAGCCACTATATCGATATGTATTGCCAAAACATCGTAACTACACCAAATATCGACCCGGAGGCAAATTCCTATGGAGCGATGTCACGTACCGCTGTACTCTCCGCAGTTTTGTGCCGGCTACTCGCTCTGTTGTTAGTTGACTCTCGCGCTAACGGGGGGGGGGGGGGGGGGTCCAGAGCTATCCTCCTGATGTTGTTATTAGCTTCTTAGGTCTAATTAATTCATGTCAGGTTAATAGTCTAGATTGGTTTCAGACCTCCACACTGCAGTCTGGCGTTATCATGGGTTGCTGACCTAAGCTAATCTTTACCTGCCGGCTTTTCAGAAGCATGCTCCTAATTGCATAATGCACATATTTTTCTGATTTTTAGTACTATCAGCTTCGTTCTTCTAACCACGACTAACATTTACCCCGAAAGGTTGTTATAGGTCACTGGTCTCAGTTGACCTCTACCCCACAGGTGTTGGAGTACAAGTCTTGTACGCCGTCATTCGCCTTTAGCCTTGCTAGTGTTGCCCCCTCATCATCACGTGACCTTTGCTGAGAAAGGTCAACATACAAGACATGCCTACACTGACCCTAAAATGGGAGCTGTCTTGACATTTGATTGGCATACGAGACAAAACCAGCAGCATATGCTTATATGATGAACATAACATTTTGGCCTACCAAGGCGTTACCGAGAGCTCCCAAGAGACTCCCCAGACAGACGATTTCCGGGCTAGCTGCATTCAAATTAGAAGAACAATGTTTGATGACCAAATACTATCTTGGCTTTGGCCTTGGCTTAGAAATGGCCTGCATCAAAGTTGATCAGGATTGCAAAGCATGCTTAATGTTTTACTCGCCCCTTGAAATCTCCTCTGCAACCAGATAACCATGAACGCCGTAAACCATGCTTCACAAGTTTCAAAACACGTTGGTTTATGACGGCGTGCCGCTCCTCTTTACAACACGTCCACATCCCCCTACCGGCTGTTAAAGTTTCCGAATTTCGACGTATTTTTATCTCATACCGCCCAGCGCGTCGCTTTAGGATGCTCTGCTCTAAAAACCCGGTCAATGGAGCGCTCGTCATCTTCCCCAACAGCTTGCAGACTGATGAGTGATGAGTGATGAGTGATGGGGTGAGCGCAGCGGGCCGATGACGCGGCGGATGCGTCCCAGTCGCGGCGGCGTGCAGCGGCGCCGGCCGGCTCCGTCACAGCCAGCCGGCTGTTTGCGCCGGACATAAACAGGAGCCGGCGGTGCGCAGGCGCCGGTGACGCCCCGTGCCGGGCACCGCGGCCAGAGCGCCGTGACGTCACGGCCAGCCGCGGGCACGGCGGGGGAGTCCGCGCCGAGATACGGCCAGCACATGCGCCGACGGGTGCCGAGCTGCTGATTAGTCTGAAGGAGCCGCCAGGCGCCGACACTTATCTGGGCGCGGGGCAAAAGCCCACCAGTTCTGAAGCTGGCGCCTGCTCTGAGGGCAGCTCCTCTTCAGAGCAGCGACAAACAGACAAGCAGAGCACCCCTTCCCCGCGCTCGCACGGGAATACGTCCAGACGGTTCTATCGTACAGAGAACAAGCCACTGATCACTTACATCGCTGACTCGTAGGGCCCCTCGACTCGCCATTCCCCACTAATCGGGCTTGAGATCTTGGGAACTTTGTTCAGGACTGGACGGCCTGGAGTTGCGTTTTGAAAATGTCGCACCAGTGATTACCATTACCCGCCGCTAGGTACACAAGTCTTTCATGTACATTTCATGAAGATTCAGATCATCAGGTTTGCTGAACAAATGGACAGCGCATGGATGACAAATGCTGGAGTATAGACGCGTGTCCCATGCCAATCAGCTGGTACTGCGGCATTTTCTGTGGCTGGTTCATGTTACAAAGGGTCAATCCAAGACTTGGGGGTTGTTCTCACCACTCCCCCTAGCTTAGTAGACGAAACTTAACTCGACGTGTGCGTATGCACTTGTAACAGTGGTAATATTTGCGTCAATGATCTGGTCTGGTGTCCTCGAACATATATTTCCTTCATCAATTTGGGGTTCTCAAACACTACGATTCTGACTTCAACTATGGTCGAGATAGTTGTGAGCTCTATGTCGTGCTCATTTATGTTCTTCGAATTTGTGTTGATGGCTGTAAAAGTGCTTTTCACATATGCTACAAATAATCCTGAATGCATGGCTCCACAAAAGTCTAGGAATTCAACCTACGTGAAAACCGCTGTTTTTCTGAAGCCTGTGTATGGGTTGATAAACATTCATATATGTGTATATTACGGCCCATGTGGAATGAAATTTAGTTCAGGAAAGGGCTGTACATGTACAGAGTATGCGGGGCGTGGATTGGTGCCGATGGGAATACGCCGGTTCAATAGTATCATGTGTGTGCCTAGTTTATGCTCAGATTACATGTGTCAAGATTTTGTATTTCTTTTCAGAACACGCAAGCTTGTAAACCAACTTCATTTTTAAAGCGTGTATATGTGCTTGCAATTCCGGAAATGTGAAAAAACTCAGTCGTGTCCCCAATTTTGCGTTTTGCTGTCATCGACCTTCGGCTCTAAAAATGGCTTCTGATTCTGCGCCGCCTGGGCGGATCTCCCCCGGCTGCCGCCTGGTAACCGGTGTTGTCTCCTCAGTCAGCAGGAGGGCACCGAGGAGGACGCAGGGGCCACCCGGTTCACCGTGACCAACGGCTGCACAGACTTCGTCGAGAATCCCTCCACTGGAGGGTAAGAGCGCCCCCAAACTCGTTTCCCGGCGGGCCCGGCCACGCCGTGTTCCGTCCTCGATGTCTGGCCGTTCAGTGGTGGATGCTCGCTCGATGCCAGCCGAGTCGTTCCTGTAGGCCCGGCAGCGGTGCTTCGGACACCGCGCGAGACGCGTCAGCCAGCCCGCTGAGCGCTGCGCCGCCCTCCTGCTTCCGCGTCCGGCGCCGCCCCACATCGCCCTCGCCCTCTCCCTCTGACTCTCCGCCCCTCTGCCGGCAGGCTGGTGCAGATGTGCTTCTGCGATCAGAGCATGTGTAACGGAGCGGGCCGACCAGGCGCCGGCGGCCTCTGCTGCCTGCTGGCGCTACTAGCGCTGCTGGCACTGATGAGCGCGGGGCGCTGAGCGGACCCAGGCCCGCCGGCGGTGGCCCTGCAGTCGCCCTGACGCCGGGCGCGAGGGGCCCCGACCGCCGAGCGCGCCCACAGCCGGCGCGAACGTCACGGGCGCGTGCCGAGCACCAGCCGGCACCAGCGTCACACGCGTCACATAGCCAGACGGCGCGCAGTTTTCCGGAGACGGCCCGTCCGGTCGCCACCAGCACGGCACATGCTCGCCGACGGTGACGCGGCCGGCAGCCCTGTTTATCATGCTCGAGCCGCGCTAAAAACATCTGTGCAAGAGTAATGACATCTGCGCAACGTACGGCAGTGTTATAAACACAGGGAATACCACCCCGGATGTCGGGAAGAAGCCATTCGTCGCCGCCCACTTGAGCGCCAGCCGCTGGGTCCAGCCCCAAGGTCGCCGGTCCACTGTGTTCTTCATGCTGCTTGGGACGAGCAGCACATCTACAAATGGCTTACCTAAGTAGGGTATGCATGGCAGCTTCGTCCGCGATAGATTATCGCGAAGCTTTTCCCAGTTGTTCACGTCCAAAAACAACTCGCGTTGTTTGTCAAACTTCTGCACCAAATTCTTCGGTAGATGTGCCCACATCTTTTGCAACCTGTAAATCGAGACGAGGAAATATATAAATAGCGAAGTATGGTATCTTACATCAAAGATAGAGCATCTCAGGGAAACCAAGGCCCACCCACACGGCAACAGGCAACAGTTCAACGCTGTTCCGAAGCAGACTATGATATCCATTTCCACGAAACTTCGTGCCGGCGAATAACGCAGGCTATTCAGTTTCATCAAGCTTGAGGACAAGTGTCGAAGAAGCCAGGCAGGGAGCATGTAAAGGAAAGCCAACGCCTGGGATCATATTTCATTCACACGATGGCATAAGCGTATTGCCAGCTAAGGAGCGCAGCACATCTAGTCCACCACGCTAAACACAGTGACGTCAATACGAAATTGTCCTAAGAACTACACATGTCGGTCATTTAACGCTCCGGCGACATCATTGCACGCGTTTGGTTTTATGTCCGTGCTCAGGCTGTCGAGCACAACACAGCGCAGTCAGCCGCGCTGCAGAGGGACGCTATTGTTCATCCCAGAGACGCTGACAATATGGACCTCACAGCGCGGGGTCGAACCCGGACCTTTGACTGGCGCGTCCACGCCCTACCGCCCAGCTAATGAAGACCCGACCTGGCAGCGTACCGCTGACGGAATGGCTGATGGAAGCGAACTATTGCCGACTTGCAGCGCGGCCGCGCAAACCGGCTATCCACAGGCGGAGCGCCGAGATCAAACAACGCACGCCTTGGGCTGCTGGCTAGGAATCTTAACATTCGCCGTTACAGACACACGCGCTCCACCTTTCAACAAACCGTTCCGACTCTAGTACTCTCACCGTGACCAGCCCGGGGCCTCGTGCCGGTGCGGAAACCGACCGCGACCTGACCCACCTGTATATGGGCGCCGTCTGCAGGGCCGAGATGATGGCGAACTGGGCGTGCAGGTTGTTCAGCTCCTGCAGCCGCTTGGCCACGCGGATGAAGAGGCCCAGCACCTCGGCGCGCTGCTTCACGCTCCGCACGTTCAGGATCTCCTTCACCGTCCAGAAGCTCACCTGGCGGCGGCGATCGAGCCTTACGCGTGCGGTATTCGCAAGCCGATCAAGTCATCGCCTGGCTCCCAAGCCGAGCTGGCGTCCTGCAGCCTACACAGCAGCAGAGCCGACCGCCGCCCCATTACCGCCGCCCGCTAAACGGCGGTTAGGACAACCGCTGTCACCGCGCCACAGCCGGTCATCCGGCTATCGCGGTCGGAGGAGGCCACTGACGGCCGGAGCCCGTCCCCGGTCTCACCACGCTGACCAGGCAAAACAGCCACTCCCTGGGGTTTGGGGCCACCCTTCCCGCCCCACTGAGCCGGCCAGGACTTTAACGGTCAAAGCCAGGTCCACTGCCAGCCACCTGCCGCCTGGCACTGGCCGAGAACCCGAACCAGGTTCGCCACTGTCCACCCGCAGCGCACTCACAGTGCTCGCACGTGATCCGCCGCTGGCCGAGTCTGGCAACGCCGACCTCAGCCAGTCCCAGCCCGACGCCAGCCAGTCCCAGCCAGTCCCAGCCCGACGCCAGCCAGTTCCAACCCGACGCCAGCCAGTCCCAGCCCGACGCCAGCCAGTCCCAGCCCCACGCTAGCCAGTCCCAACCCGATGCCAGCCAGTCCCAGCCAGTCCCAGCCCGACGCCAGCCAGTTCCAACCCGACGCCAGCCAGTCCCAGCCCGACGCCAGCCAGTCCCAGCCAGTCCCAGCCCGACGCCAGCCAGTCCCAGCCCGACCTCAGCCAGGCCCAGCCCGATGCCAGCCAGTCCCAGCCCGACGCCAGCCAGTCCCAACCCGATGCCAGCCAGTCCCAGCCAGTCCCAGCCCGACGCCAGCCAGTTCCAACCCGACGCCAGCCAGTCCCAGCCCGACGCCAGCCAGTCCCAGCCCGACGCCAGCCAGTCCCGGCCCGACGCCAGCCGCTCCCAGCCCGCTCCCAGCCACCGCCCACCTGGTTGAAGCGGCGCGTGAAGGCGACCACGTTGGGCGAGAGCCGATGCTTGTCGCGCCGGTTCCAGCCGAGGCAGGCGAGCTCTTCGGGCCCGATGCGCCGGAACACCTCCCAGTCGGCGCGCGTGATCTGCGAGGCGAACTCCTCCGGTGGGATGGTGAGCACCTCCAGGAAGGTGGGCCGACCACCACCGCCCGCTCGCGGTAAACTGCCGACCGAGGGCCGCCGTCAGTCGCACGGCCAACGCGGCGTCGAACGCACGCGGCACGCGCTGGAGCAGCGTTACACCGGCCACTGAGGAACACGTCGCACGCATACACACCGGTTTTCTGGGGCTCCAGATAATGGGAGACATTACACGCATGGCCATACGTCCGAGCACACCATGTTCCACACACTTGTAACGCCCGCTTACTCCCACGAAAATCGGGTAAAATTACGATCCTCCGTTGTGAGCCGGATGCCAAGTTCGTGATACCGACATGACTCGACGGACAACACTGCGACATGCCCGAGAAGACTGCAACCTGCGTGTATGTCATAAAGAGGCCATCAAAGAAAACCTTGTCGTATTTCCAGGTCTACATCGAAAGGCCAATAGCAAGAAACTAAAATACACTGACCGTGGTCCAACACCACCACCTTCTGTGTTTGTTTGTGTGACGTGAACATGTGCCACACAGCGGCAATTTAGCGAGACCACATATCGCGACATTCAAGAAATGACTCGGCCGGCACCGTCACCCCATTGTCCTCGATTCATAGCCTCGCCGGCTATTGGTTAGCCCGGTCCTCTCTCCGGACATTGTCGATAAAAGCGACACACAGACGGCGGCGGCGTAGTTAATTTCACCGCCGAGAGAGACCGCGGTCATACGGAACGACCGCCAACACTCCGGTCATGCCTGCCCTGAGGACACGGCGGGCGGCGGACGGCAGTCGGTGTGCCCCGGACACCTCGAGACGGGGAACGACCCGTGCACCGGCCAGGCTCAAAACGACACTACCGTCCGACGGCAACTGATTTCACGATGCAACTGTCCGTTTGCCGTTCCCTGTTGCCGTACGGTCTGTCTTTGGTCAATGCCATTAACTACATGCAGAGCGTCTGATGAAAATTACAGCATATGAGATACGTGTGCATTCACGAATCCGGCTCGAGTGGTCCGCCAGATAGCAAACACAATGAAACAAGGCTCACGGCCACTAACATCGACTAATCCACTGTTTTTATCCCGACCTGACCAACAATGAGGCCATAAAGTTTCACCACCCACTCAACCGTGCACAAGGGCGCCAGTGCTGGCCTTGTTCCACCACGCGGCCGGGTGCGGCTGCTTGACCCCCCAGTCACAGAGCTGACCTGGTGCTGAAGCAGGTGGTGACCTTCTCCTCAGAGGACTGGCGGCAGCTGGCGCGACGCGAGTTGTTCCTCGACAGGCCATATCGACCACCTGAAAAACGCGACCGATGTCATCACAGCGCGCACCCATTGCCGTGCTACAAGGCAGGCAATGTGTGACACTTCCAACTAGGGTTTGTGTGCGCCCCCACGTGTGAGTGTGCGCGGAGTGAGCGACAACTGCTGACGAGGTGACACCCGCCGCTAACCAGCGTCTCTGTCTGTCATGACTCACGGCACCTCGTTGACGCCACGGCGTGTGGCCCTGTGCCGAATATGCACCCGCAGCGGTTCGGCGCGCGCAGCAGCCTCACGCGTGCACCGGTCGCCGTGTGTGCACCAATATGACGTGCATGAGTGTCAGCGCGTACTTTGTCAACATGACAGCAGTGTCTGCGATAATACGTCAGCGCGGCCCTGACCGGCCTGGCCGACCGAGGCACAACGGCGGCGAGCCGCTCTCGGAGCAGCGGCTTTGCGGACGGCTTTATCGCTGGTTATGATACCGATTAGGGTCGCGACAGGGTCTGACCGACACCACCACCCGCACCTATACCCGGGGAGGGGAGCGACTGCCCGGGACGCCAGGGTCTGACCGACACCACCACCCGCACCTTTACCCGGGGAAAGATACGGCTGCCTGGCAGAAAAGCGTCGGAAAATGGACACGGGCACGGTTACCGCTGAGGGTCTCAAATCAAAACTCTGGGGTATTAGAGCATGAAGCAACCACCTTGCATTAGTAGGTACATTACAGCAACACATCGGCATGGACAACAAGCGCTGGAGTGAGGGCTTTATATACAATATGTATCGCGGTAAAATGCGGAGGGTGTTGTGTGAAACCTAGGAGCTTCAGACTAATTAAGGATGTGTGCTTATTTGAAAGATGCTGATGGCTTTCCTAAATTGTCATGGAAATCGGGATCTATTTCAAATTAACCTAATACAGCCATCGCAACAGCGCGTCAAACTTAAATTGGCATGAAAAGAATGTACAGATAACGGTTCAAAGACTTATTGTTAAGGTAGCAATCTTCACTCCAAGGTGATCAATGTAAAAACACCTAAAAAGCAGCTCTGTTTTCCACAGAAAGAGCTAAACGACTGAATTGTAGGCACAAGTGGACAGAAGACATTTCTTGGAGGAAGGAACACTACGATCCCATGCTAATTTTGTCCGGGAGGAACTTCGGGTAGCGAATGAGCAAATTTAAGTGAAGTACACAAGTATATAATCACGTTCGAGCAAAATTCAAGGTCATCACCGGCCATCAATCACTGTCAGCGCTAGAGGTGCTTGTATGGAGCGACCCCCTCTGCCTGACATCAAACCTTACGTGAATTCACGGTCACCAGATCGACAATCATCGTGCACGGCTCCGGTCACTGCCTGTCCGCCGGAGGTGCCCACAGGGGCTTTGGTCACTGCCTGTCCGCCGGAGGTGCCCACAGAGGCTCCAGTCACTGCCTGTCCGCCGGAGGTGCCCACAGAGGCTCCGGTCTTTGCCTGTTTGCCGGATGTGCCCACAGAGGCTCCGGTCTTCGCCTGTTTGCCGGATGTGCCCACAGAGGCTCCAGTCACTGCCTGTCCGCCGGAGGTGCCCACGACACGGAGCGCCCGGGCGAGCTCGGGCGCGACGTCCGTCCGGGGGCACGGCAGCAGCCACACTGAGCTGGCCGGCACGGTGGAGCGCCGGGAGAGCCCGGTGGCACGGCGGCAGCCACACTGAGCTGGCCGGCACGGTGGAGCGTCGAGGCGGTACGGGCGGCACGGCAGCAGCTACACTCGACTGGAGCGCCGCACACAGCTAATTCTGCTTCAAAACTGGCAGAAGCCTCAATCGATTCCTGACATGCGCGAAACTGTCTATTTTTGTTGGTCTCCAGTGCCGCATTGATCAGGCCAAATGAAAGCACCTTCAGAAGTCACTCGAGCCCTTGGTGTCGGTTTTGCAAGCGTAAGAAGCTGGACATTTTTGTTGTCACTTGATGCTTCTACTTTACCATAAATTGATAGGATGTTTGTCACGCATTCATGAATAACAAATATTCCGAAAACAAACTTCAGAAATAAAAACGTGTCTTGAAAAGGACTGTCAAGCCGTGCTTTATCATCTGCTGGCATTGCATTTGACACGAACGGCCTTTAAAGCCATATTAATACATGATTTTGAGACATATGTGTGGTACTTAAAACAGTAAAAGAGCAGAACAGTTGTGGAGAGCGACGGAACAGGCTACGCCTGTGTCCACTTTTGACTATAGTCAGGGCGCTTCCCAGTGTGTTGGGAACAATTTGGACAAAGGTTATGACGGCAGAACAGATCGAAAAAAAAATACGAAGGCTTTAATAAGCCGGCCGCCGTAAGCCGCGTCCCACCGGCTAGCTGGTCGGGCACCGGGTGGTGCGGCGGCCGTCCGTCCGCGCGATCTCGTAATCACCAACAGACAGCAGGAGCAGTGCAATGGTGCGGCGGCCGGCCGTCCACGCGATCCCGTAAGGTTATCGTCCACAGACCCCAGCAGCAGTGCGATGGTGCGGCGGCCGGCCGTCCGCGCCATCCCGTAATCACCAACAGACACCAGGAGCAGCGTGTCGCACTGCGTGCGGGGCAACAGGGAAGCCAACGAATGGCCTAAACGTGTTATCAGCTCGCATTGCACGCACGGAGACTTGCCAATTTGGTCTTTCGATGACGCCACGCTTGGATCGCTGTTCTCGAGGGCCCATTCGCATATCGTGCGGGCTGCCCGTGAAGACCTGAGAGGTGGCTTCAAAACACAAAGCGGTCGTAAATGAGCGAAAGAAAATGATACAACGGTCACAACGGACAGTGGATGAGCTTGGTGGCTTATCAGCCGAGATCACGGGGAAGGACCTATCTGGCGAAGTGACACGCGAGGCTTCGAGGCTTCTTCAAAGAAAAGTTGTTATACTGCCTGCCATGTCTTCATTCTTGCTTTCTGAAAACCTGAGCGCGCACAATACGCCATGGAAACGGCTCGGTTGTTAGTGTCACTGTGTCAGCGGTACTCTATGCCCCCGCCCGTGCATGAAGTGATGGTTAATGGAGCGGACGTGATCGAGTCACTGTCACCGTCCATCGACATCTGGAGCCAAGAAGTGCGTGAAGCCAGAAACAAACGCAGCCGGTTGTGGACCAGTTACGCCATCTGCTGGTGGCCTGTCATTCCCTCATCGCTATAGTGATCGAACTCGACATCGACAAACCCAGACGCCGACGACGGCCGACGCAGGCCAGTCCGAGCACAGTGAGCAAAAGCGTAATTCTCAAGGACGTCCTGAGGTGAAAAGGCGATACGGATGAAGGCGAGGGGAAATGTGTCACGGTCCAGATATATCTCTTACAACTGGATGTGAAAAGCTGACGCACATTTTTGCTTGTTTTGCTTGGCTTTTGCGTATTTTGTGCTTAAAGTCCAACTCATTATTGCGACTCAAATTAAAGACATCGCGTTACTTCAAGCTGGCGTGTGGCCAGCTATGTTACGAACAAGTTAAAGTGTCGCGTAAATGAGACCAAGGCAAATGTACCAGACGACACTACGTCATAGCATTGAGCTTGCGCTCAGCTTTACACAGCAAGACGTGCGCTTTCATGCATGTGATGCGTAGTTTGTATGACTTCTCTTCCACGTATCCTGGCCTGTGCTTGTTTATGTAACACGCTGGCTTCCAGGATGTTAAGGAGCATGTCTCAATGACACAACGAAGCGCCACACACACACCCGGAATAACGTGAGCCGATCTTACTTCCTTGTGCCAATTATCGCTCTTAATCAACACTTCAATAAGCATCTGTAAGATCTACATATGCTGACTCCTTCCGACTCTCAAAGGGAGTATCCCACCTTTTTGTACTTTTTATTCATTGAGAGATCAGACGCGTGCGATTCTATCAGTAATACCGGTTTTCTCGAAATCCTGAACAGCTCAAAATTCCGATTTGAGGCAGCTGCTCCCGCGGGAAAAATCTCCCCTGACTCTCTGCTCACCTCTACGAAAATAATACATTTCATTTGTTTTCCTTTTCCAACATCAGTGTCCTGTATCACTTGCAGCACACTAATTTGTCACAAGATTTGTGTGCTAAACGCGAATAGATGTAAAAGTTCGCGTAAAATGCTAATGCCAAGAAAGCTTAAAGCACTGCTGAGACAAAAAGGAATACGAACATGAAGCCATTATCCCGCGAATTCAATGAAACGTTATATCATGGCTTTGATTTCTCCCTCACGGCGTTTATCACGATGGGTGGTCCTTTTCGAGGAGCACGTAGACATTGGTATTGGGAGCATCACGTGGTCACAGACGCACTGGTTCAAATTTTAACAAGTGCACTTCCCGGTAGCAGGCCCTTGCCGCCCGCTAGGCCAATTACAAACGTTCTTTTATTCGCACCAATAGAGGTGCTCAGGACAGTTGTCATGACGACGGTGGTCGCGACTACAAGGAAGAAATGTAGTGCTGTTACAATGCGTTGACAGCGTTATTTGAGTCCGAAAATTGTTCAACTGCTATCTTTATTATCTTGACAATGCTGCAGTGGCCTTACCCAGTGTTATGATTAGACGTGACATGTCCTGAGCTTTCACTACATTGTGTTTTTGTCACATGCCCCAAAGGTGGGATATTCCCCTTAACTTAGCGATGACATCCACGGTAACATATTTCGCGACATGTGACAAAGGGGTGTATGATACTAACTTTGCCAGAGAAAAAGAGAAATACAATCCTGGCTTTCATATAACCCATATATAATGTTTCCATGTTGGTTGATAAATGAGCTAGATTTTCGATTGCCGATTGCTCTCTTCCAACGATTGTCCAATACTCCCCTTCGAAAGTATTCGTTGCCTCATGTCGCCCGCCGCAGTCACGGGTCACCGAGCTCTGGGCCCGCGTTTGATCTGCGCTGCTCAGCGTCTTCCAATTTTAGAAGTTTTTCCTCACTCATGGTCACCAAACCGGGAGGCGGCAACGTGGCAATAATACAATATTCGGGGAAAATAACCATCTCATCAACCACGCCGAATTAAAATCCTCACGATTTGCACAGCAAAACTTTCAGAAAAATACGTTTCTTGTCGCCAAACTTGCGTGGGCCTACAATCAGTGGATGCAGAGAGCGTTGACTTCTAGAAGGCATCGCGGCCGCGCGGGTCGCAATCATCGCCATCACCATGGCCGACTGGTCCCGCTCTGCGGCTCGCTGCTCAGTTGGCGGCTGGCCGGCCAATCGACAACCAAAGGCGATAATTACAGGCTAGCCCTGCAAATCGCCAACGTCGTACCAGCTCATCGTCGCTGCACCTCCGGGGCAGCTCCAGGTGACCCCCCGGGTGCCGGCTGATCTCGTAATGGGAAAACCTTCGGGTGCGTGATGACCCCGAGACGGCTGTCTCTGCGCCCCGGCGCTTTGCGGGGGATCTCCGGGTGCCCACTGCCCTCAGGCCTCATGGCGCTCAAGAGTCATGCGTGGGCAGCTCCTGTCGCCCACCATCCCGACATCTCCGAGCGCCACTGACCTCCCACGTGCGGGGAATCCAGATACCAACTGACCTTTGACCCCAGCTGACCCCGTTGCGCAACTCACTGACCCCCAGCTGACCCGCTGTGCAGTTTCTTGACTCCCAGCTGACTCTGCTGCGCAGCTCCCGGACCCCCAGCTGACCCCGCTGCAACTCCCTAACCCCTAGCTGACCCCTCCGCGCAGCTCCCTGGCCCCAAACTGACGTGTGACAGTGGTGCCGGGGCGCCAGCTGACCTTGTGCGGCTGCAGCGCGGTCGGCGGGCGGGCTGAGCCGCGCCTCAGCTGCCTGGCGGGCCGACAGGTGGCGCGGCGTCGGCAGCGTCTGCGAGAGCGTCGTGCCCGCCAGCAGCGCGTCCTCCTCCCTCTGCGCGCCGGTCCGGCGGCGGTTACCGGCACGGTCACCAAAGCAAACACCACGCAAACGCTAACATACGGCGCACGGCACGGTGCACTTGCCGCGGAAATTGCGCCAAAAACAAGGTTACGAAGCACAGGAAGACAGAAAGCCAACTCAGCGAACACGAAAAAGGAACGCGAAGGAGATCTCACAAATCACAGTCAAAACCAGCGCCAGAGCGGTTGCGCAGCGACTGCCGGACATTACCTCGCATAGCTTGAGCGTGGCTAGACTGTCGCAGGACGGCTCGCGGGCGAAATCCGAGTGCCACATGCCGCCCGGTCAGCGGCACCGCATGGTGATCGGGCCGGGGACGATGGTCGGCGCGCAGCCAGCGGAGCGGCCTGCAACAGCCACACGCGCCCGTGTCAGCGACGCACGCGGCGCCGGGCCGCGCCAGGCGGTCTCATCTCACGCCGTCGGCGCGCCTGCCCGCTCAGCTGCCACCGGCGCGCCGCGGCCCGCCACGCGCGCAGCCGCGTACCACACATCAACGACACAGACGGTTAACTGGAGTTGTGTGTGAGGCGAGGGAGAGTGCAGCTGAGAGCGTGCCCGCCCAGCAGTCGCGCGTCGAGACGCCGGCTGAATCTGGTGCCGATCGTGATCACGATCCACCCCACGCCCCCAGCTGCGATGGACGTGTGTGATGGAGACGCTAGATGGCCTCAAATGTTGAATGCGTCGATAAGACCCGAGCCAACATGCATTTTGACCCCGTAATGACC